GTGCTGGAATTTTAGGTGAGTGTTGGGGTTGCTGTTCAGGAATTGCAGGCATGCACCACCACACAAATGTTTAAGTGGTGGTGGAAATGTAATCCAGGGCTTCTTGCATACTAGGTAAGCTGTCTGCTGGCTGAATTATATATTCCCTTCATCCCCTTACTCACCCTTTTTAAAATCAGACTTGTCGAGGGTGGCACAGACATGCCTTTAATCCCAGTACTCAGGAGACAGAGGCAGGTGGATCTCAGCCAGCCTGGTCTACAGAGCAAGTTCCAGGCCAGCCAGGGCTACACAGAGAAACCCTGTCTCAAAAAACAAACAACAGAAATCAGGGACTTATTTATTTATTTATTTATTTAATTTTTTTTGAGACAGGGTTTCTCTGTGTACCCTGGGCTGTCCTAGAACTTACTCTGTGGACCAGACTAGTCTCAAACTCAGAGAACCTCCTGCCTCTGCCTCCTCCTCCGCCTCCAGAGTGCTGGGAATAAAGACATGCACCACCACTGCCCTGCAATTTATTTATTTAAAAAAATTATCTTATTTTATGTGTGTGAGTTTTGCATGAATGTATGTGCACCACATGCATGCCTGGTGCCTGTAGAAGTCGAAGAGGTTTTAGGGTCCCCAGAGCTGGAGTTATGGAGGGTATGGGCTGCCTTGTAGGTGCTGGGAATTGAACCTGGGTCATCAGTGAGAACAACAAATGTTCTTAACTATTGACCAGGATTGTTTTTTAAAAAAATGTTACATTTGTTTATTTTGTATGTAGTAGGTATACATGCCATTGCACACATGGTAATCAGAGGACAATTCCCAGAGTCTGTTCCCTTTTTCTACCATGGGGGTTCCATGAATTGAACTCAGATCTCAGATCATCAGGCTTGGCAGTGAACTCTTTGAGCCATTGTGTGTGTGGTGTATGTGTATGTGTGTGAGAGAGAGAGAGAGAGAGAGAGAGAGAGAGAGATGAGTGTGTGTAAAAGTGTGTGGTGTGGGTGTGAGGAAGAGTGAGTGTGTATGGGTGGGTGTGGGGGGTAGTTTGATGTTGGGTGTCTTTCCTGCATTGCTCTTCATCTTCCTTTTTGGGATAGGTTCTCTCACTGAACCTGGAGCTCCCCGATTCAGCTAGCTTGGCTGACCAGCAAGCCTCAGGACCTTCCTGATTATACAGGTGTGTGTCACTTGCCCTGACTTTAACTGGGATTCTGGTGCTCTGAGCTCAGGCCCAGGTTTGTGGGCAGCACGGGACAAACGGAGGAGCACTTTCCCTGTCTGTTTTCTTTTTTGCAGTACTGGGGATTGAACATGAGGTCTCTATCATACTAGGCAAGTACTCTACCACTGAGCTATCCCATAGTTCCAACACTGTTGTCCTGTTGTTGGGTTTAGAATAAAAGCAGTCTACATTCCACAGTTCTCTGCACTAGATAGCCGGTCTTGTTGCCTCTGTGAAAGACCATATATTCCAGGTCAGCAGCCCTCAACTCTTTTTAGTTTCAGGATCTCTGTTAGTTCTTTAAAGAAGGAGCTTGAAGACTTTGTTTATTTTATATTTTTTTCAGATCTTCCATACTAGTTTAGTATATGCTCATTGGTCTGTCTTCAAACAAGGTTTTGTTGGTGGGGGGATAGGAAAATCTGACTTTAATCCCTTATTTAAGAGTTTCTCTGTGTAACAGCTCTGTCTTGGAATTCACTTTGTAGACCAGGCTGACCTCAGACTCACAGAGAGCCACCTGCTATCTTCTGCCTCCAGAGTGCTGGAGTTAAAGATGTGTGCCACCACTACACAGCTTTAGTCCCTATCTGAAGGGGCCTTTGATGACTTTTCAATGCTGCTTTTTGCTATTCTATATAAACTCTGCATAACAATTGGTCAAAGCTTAGTTATAATGCAGGTTTCAAACTGCAACCATTCCCAGCTCTCTACAGATACTCAGGAGACCTTACTTAAAGAAAAAGTAAAACAAAAAAAAAAACAAAAAACAAATGTTATGTTATACTTGGCATATTTTACAAATTGCTAGACTTTGAGGTCATCCCTCAGTTATGTAGTAATATAGATTTTTTTTTGTAATTTAACTCTTTAATAGAAACGTTGGTAATATGATTACACAGTATAAAAACCATACTTAGGTATTGGAGAATTGTCAAGGTTACTGTAGTAGAGATCAAGTTTAAAAAAAAAATGGAGGTAATTTTGATACAGGATCAGCCACGTTGGTCTTAAATTTACTACAGAGCCCAGGTTGACCCTGAACTCCATCTCCCAAATGCTAGAATTAAAGGTGTGTGCTGCCTGCACTTGGCCCTATTATTACATTCTGATAGACAGTCTTGATATTTCCAGACTAGCTCTGAATTCTTGGGCATTGGTGATTCCTCTTCCTATTTTCAGGTGAAAATTCAAAACTTTTAAGTTACAGTAATATAGTTAACTTCTTTGAAGAGATAAGCTTGTTTTTTGTATGATTAAAAAAATTTAACCGTGGTAGTGGCGGCGGTGGCGGTACACGCCTTTAATCCCAGCACTCAGGAGGCAGAGGCAGGGAGATCTCGGTGAGTTCAAGGCCAGCCTGGTCTACAGAGTGAGTTTTAGGACAGCCAGGACTACACAGAGAAACCTTGTCTTGAAAAACAAAAAAACAAAAAAAATAAGAGAAAAAAGTTAACATTTATTTTATGTGTATAAGTATTTTGCATGTATGTATATCACATGCATGCATGTATGCTGCCAGAAGAGGGTGTCGGATCTCCTGGTACTGGAGTTACAGATGCTTGTGTGGGTGCTGGGAACAAAACTTAGGTCCTCTGCAAGAGCAACAGTGATAAGCCATTGAGCCATTTCTCCAGCTCATTGCCTAATTTTTTTTTGAAGGGGGGGGTTCAAGACAGGGTTTTTCTGTAGCTTTGGAGGCTGTCCTGGAACTAGCTCTTGTAGACCAGGCTGGTCTCGAACTCACAGAGATCTGCCTGTGTCTACCTCCCGAGTGCTGGGATTAAAGGCATGCGCCACACCTCTGGGCTCTTTTCTTTCTCTCCCCTCCCCTCCCCTTCCCTTTCTTTCTTTCTTTCTTGTCCTTCCTTCGTTTTGTTTGGTTTTTTTTCGAGTCAGGGTTTCTCTGTGTAGCCCTGGCTGTTCTGGAACTCTAGACGAGGCTGGCTTCCAACTCACAGAGCTCCACCTGCTTTTACATCCCGAGTGCTGGGATTAAAGGCATGTGCCACCATGGCATAAAACTCTTAATAAACTCCCAACTGTGCTTTTAAGAAAAGGAAATTGCTCTACAGGGCATGGTGCACACCTTCAATCCCAGCACTGAGAGGCAGAGACAGGAGGTCTACCTGAGTTTGAGGCAAGCCTGGTCTACATAAAAATGTTCCATGCTAAAAGCAGCTAATTCATTATACACCTTTAAACAAATAATAATAATAATCCAAAGGAGACAGTCTAGGAAGCATGATGAAAGGCCACTTCCAATTCTAGAAACAAGTGTTTTCTCAAGGGCATTCTTCAAGGACATTAGGGGGAAGAACATGGTCTCAGTTATAATTAAGAAAAATAGGTTCCCACACTAGCCCAGGCTGGCTTGGAATTCACTTTGTAGCCTGTGCTGGCTTCAACCTCATGAAGCAAGTTATATCGCTGTTAAATTATCATGCTGTTTCTAAGTATTATTTTCAAAATAATTTTTAGAAAGATTTATTTCCTATGTATACAGTGTTCTACCTGCAGCCCAGAAGAGGGCACCAGATCTCATTATAGATCATTGTGGGCTACCATGTGGTTGCTGGGAGTTTAACTCAGGTCTTCTGGAAGAGCAGCCAGTGCTCTTTACTTCTGAGCCATCTCTCCAGCCCCTCAAAATAATTATGACAGAACTGGGACTATAGTTTTGGAATCATTATTCTAGGTTTGGCTCTTATGTGATCTCTTGAACCACTACAGAGATAGTTAAATTTATTTATTTTGAGACAAGGTTTCACTCTGTATCCCTGGTTGGTCTGGAACTTGGAGAGATCTGGCTGCCTCTGCCTCCCAGATGAATGTTGGAATTAAAGGCATTCACAACCATGCCCGGTAGAGATGTGGTTTACATAGCTGCTCTATAATATGTATATATTAGGTAATGGTGTGTGGTGAGTGCTAGGATTAACGGCATTCACAACCATGCCTGGTAGAGGTGTGGTTTGTACATCTGCTGTATGATATGTATTAGATAATGATGTATGGTAACTAACATTCTATATTGCTTTACTCTGTGTCTACTACTGTTCTAGGAAGGAACGTGGGACAAAGATAAGTGCCTGTGTTTGTCTGTTTTTACATAGAATCTGGCTAGGTAACCCAGGCTGACTTTGAATTCATGATCTTCTTGCCTTCATAGTCCCAGTCCTGGAATTGCATGTAGTTTTTTGTTTGTTTGATTGTTTGTTTTGTTTGTTTGTTTTTGTTTTGTTTTAAATTTCATTGTATCAGCTAAGCCCATAGATTCTCTAAGGTAGGCACTCCCATGTCACAGGGGGGAAGGCAGGAAGAGGGAGATTAAGCACTTTGACAAACCCTCATCAGAATCAGGATTCAAAGCCAAGTTCCTCCCAACCACTGAGTGACTTAAACAAAGCCAAGGTAGCAATCAGCTGTTCTCTCTTCTGGGGAAATAGGAATAAATGGACGTTACCTCTAGGACAATGGTTCTCAACATTCCTAAATACTGCCACCCTTTAGTGTTGTAACCTCCAACCATAAAATTATCTCTGTTGCTACTTCATAACCAACTTTGCTACTGTTATGAATCAGAATGGGAATATCTGTGTTTTCCCATGGTCTTAGGCAGCCCCTGTGAAACGGTCATTCGACCCCTAAATGGGTCACGATCTGCAGGTTGAGAACCACTGCTCTAGGGAGAAGGTACAGGAGTGCACAGGGCATCCATTATTGTTGGGTATCATATAGGCATCTTGTTCTGACCTCTGCCCTCTCTTGCTCTGTCAGGATGACTTCTCGGGATCAGCTGGTGCAGCAGGTGCTTCGGGATCTGCAGGAGGCAGTGGAGTCCGAGGGCCTGGAAGGTCTCAGCAGTGCCGCCCTGGAGGCCAAGCAGGTCCTGTCTTCCTTCACCCTCCCCATCTGTCAGAAGGGTGGTCCTGGACCCCAGGTGCTGGAGGTGGACTCTGTGGCCCTGAGTCTATACCCAGAGGATGCTCCACAGAATATGCTGCCCCTGGTGTGCAAGGGCGAGGGTAGCCTGTTGTTTGAAGCAGCCAGCATGTTGTTATGGGGACACACTGGTCTCAGCCTGGAGCTGCGGGCCCGCACCGTGGTGGAGATGCTGCTGCACAGGCACTATTATCTCCAGGGTATGATTGACTCCAAGGTGATGCTCCAGGCTGTGCGCTACTCCCTGTGCTCTGAGGAGTCCCCCGAGATGACCAACCTGTCTTCTGCCACACTGGAGGCCATCTTTGACGCCGATGTCAAGGCTACGTGCTTCCCTACCAGCTTCTCCAATGTGTGGCACTTGTATGCCCTTGCTTCCATCCTTGAGCGCAATATCTACTCCATCTACCCCATGCGCAATGTCAAGATCCGACCCTATTTTAACCGTGTTATCCGGCCTCGCCGCTGCACCCACGTGACCTCCATGTTGCACATCATGTGGGCTGGCCAGCCCCTCACTAGCCACCTCTTCCGTCACCAGTATTTTGCCCCTGTGGTTGGGCTGGAAGAGATGGAGGCTGATGGTGCTGCTATCCTGGACCCCTCTCCTCCAATCCCGGGTCCTCTGCTGCCACCAGCCAAGACCCTGGAGCTGCTCAACCGTGAACCCGGCCTCAGCTACTCTCACCTCTGTGACCGCTCCAACATCACCAAGAGCACCTTCTACCGCTGGCGGCGGCAGACCCAGGAGCACCGGCAGAAGGTAGCCACCCGCTTCTCGGCCAAGCACTTCCTACAGGACAGCTTCTACCGTGGGGGCCTTGTGCCATTGCAACAGTTCCTACAGAGATTCCCTGAGATCTCCCGTTCTACCTACTATGCCTGGAAGCATGAGCTGCTAGGCTCTGGTGCCTATCCAGCCTTGGTCCCTGCTACTCCACCCAGGGAGGCACTAGCTGTGCCAGAGCTGGAGAGCCTCCCAGGGAAAAAGGCTGCCGAGGGGCTGGGGTGCTCCCCAGCGGCAGTGGCGGTGTCTAGCCCTAGCATTATCTTAATGCAGCGTGCCAAGTTGTACCTAGAACATTGCATCTCCCTGAACAAACTGGTACCCTATCGCTGCTTCAAAAGCAGGTTCCCTGGCATCTCGAGGTCCACCTACTACAATTGGAGGCGGAAGGCCCTCAGGAGGAGCCCCAGTTTTAAGCTGGCCCCAGCCCTTGAAACCGCTGAGTCTCTGCCCCCAACAGACGTTGGGGACGCAGCCCTGCCCTCTTTGAAGGGTGAGGTGGGAGAAGAGGGGACAGGGAAAGCAGTAGGTGGAGACCCTCCTACTTCCCAGAGTCTCACACCCTCAAGGATGCCCTTGTCTCGTTGGCAGAGGCGACTACGCAGGGCTGCCCGCAAGCAGGTGCTAAGTGGGCACCTGTCTTTCTGTCGCTTCCGCCTCCGCTATCCTCGCCTGTTACCTTCCACTTTTTGGGTGTGGAAAAGTCTTTCCCGGGGATGGCCCAGGCTGCAGGCCTCCTCTTTGGGCCAAAGGAGGCGGGAGCCAGCTGAACGGCAGGAGCCAGCTGAACGGCAGGAGCCAGCTGAACGGCAGGCGGCAGGAGCCAGCTGAACTGAACGGCAGGAGCCAGCTGAACGGCAGGAGCCAGCTGAATGGCAGGAGATGGAAGCTGGTGAGAATATAACCTCTGTGATGGTTCCTCAGGTGGAGACACTGCCAGTGGTCGCTTCTTCAGAAAACCTCCCAGAAGACGCCCAGGGAGGGCCTTCTAGAGAGAGGGTCATTCAGGAGACAGCTATGGCCCAGGGCCAACCCCACAGTGGATCCCTATCAAGCCAGACTGTGGCTGCGGCAGCAGGTGGCGGGGATGGCCAGGTGCTGGTGATGGACATGCTTAGCACCTCAAGGTTCAAGGCCCAAGCCAAGCTGTTCCTACAGAAGCGCTTCCAATCCAAGACTTTCCCCTCCTACAAGGAGTTCCAGTCTCTCTTCCCGCTCACTGCGCGCTCCACCTACTACATGTGGAAGAGGGCACTCTTTGAAGGCCTCACACTGGTTGATGGCTGATGGGGAGGTGATGTAGAGCCCGAGAAGAGGAGGAGACCTGAATTGTCTCCTGACTTGGCCAGGATGCCCTTTACTCTGTCTTCCATAATTTCGCGGCTTGGGGTGGAGAGGTAGAAATAGTGAGAGCTACAGGAGTGCTATTTGGCTCTTTGGTTGTTGGATGGCCATGCATTCTTATTGTTTAGTTTTTTTTTTTTTTTTTTCCCATTAAGGTGGGTTGGCAGGACCCCCTTGCCAGTGGTTGTGGAAGTTATGATTGTGCCGCGGCTGCCTGCAGCTTTTCCTGGGCCCACACAGAGTATTATAGCACGGCCATTATCTTCTCTCAGGCGGAATATGTCTTTACTTTTTTTTAGGGTGATGTCCTTTTTTCTCAAAGTTGACTTCCAAAGGAACAAGGGGACTGAATGTGAGGGAGGAGTGTGGCCCCCAGTGGAGAAGGTGCCAGGCTCTTCATGATCATAAGCTGGACTTCATAGAAGAGAAACCATGGTGGCCTCTAAGCCAGGGAAGGCCCCTAGGCACTGGAGACCCTAAAGAGGAAGGCCTGCTCCCTCTGCTGGAGGTCTCCGCTGGTCCCTGCCATCTGGCTGGCTGTAGGGGACCTGCTTTTGTGCTGAGTCATGTCTTTGGCAAGGAGTCACAAGGTTACAAAGCTGATGGGAAACTGAATTTTCATTGTCCAACAGCAAAGTTAAAAAACGAAAGAAATAAAGTGTTGTCTTGTTTACACATTGCCTGAGGGCTCTGGGATTTGTTTGGCTAAGATGTGAATACCTGTTCCCAGGCTCCCTTTCAGCTTAAGGGGGGTTGGGACACCATTTCTGTCTTCTGATAGTACCTGCTTGGGACCCTGGCTGGTGGGACTCTGTTATGAACTGGATCTAGAAGTCACAATTTGGTCTGGCTGAATAAGACACTTCCTCCTCCACATACTGGGTGTGCCAGGCAGGCTGGACCCAAGGCAGATGAGGGCTTTTGTCTATTGAGATGAAGCGTCAATGGGGGAGAGATTCTCTTAGTCTCTTAGGTCCGTTCTCCTCTCTTAGTTTCCAGTTTTTTGTGGGCCTGGGTTCTGCCTTTTGTTTATCCCCACGATCATTGCATCAGTGGAATCCAGGGTCTTGTGCTAACTAGTCAGATGATCTATCACTGGCCCCTTTTTTCTTTAATTCCAAATTGATTCAGAATCTCCCCTTTGCTCTGCTGGCCCATGACACAGCTACCTCCTCCTTCCCCTCCCATGTGATCCAATCTCCAGAGATTTTGGTGAAATTAGATCTTGTTACATTCCTCTCTGTGGCTTCCTTTTCCTGGCAGAATTCCTTGAGAAGGGCTGTGTAAAGTGTGGCCCACAGCTCACTCCCTCTTTTCATTATGTCCCCCTGTGTTGCAGTCACACTGCAGTCACACTGGCTGCCTCTGATTCTCTTTTCTGCTCTGGGACTTTACATGCTCGATCCTTTGGTCTAAAATGCTCTTTCTCTCTCCTTCTTCCTCGTTGCTCCCCTTTCCTGCTATCTTTCCCCTTCCTTTCAAAATTAATTTTAGACACCGTCTCACTATGTAACCCTGGTTGTGTAGACCAGACTGGCTTTGAACTCACAGAGATCTGCCTGCTTTTGCCTCCTGGATGCTGGATTAAAGTTGTGCATCACCAGGCCCCATGCTGACCGTCAGCACCTGGCAGAATGCTGTGGTTATAGGCCCCTACCACCACAGCCAATTGCAAAGCTTTTCCTGCTGTCTATACAGCTGACACTGTGTCACTATAACATCACTCGTCCAAATTCTTTGGTAGGTTCTTGTTTCTGTTGATTTCTTGTTTGGTTGCCCCCAGTAGAGTGCAGGCTGTATGAAAAAGCATTTTTTTTTTCCTTTTACTGACAGCAGTGAACTCTATAGATGATAGATTAATTCTAGACACACAATAGGTGTTCATACTTGAACTGAGAAAGAATGGGATGGAGCTTTAATCCTTCCTTACTGTTAATTCTGAGATCTGGTTTTTGCAAACATAATCAGTGGTTTTAAATATTTCTCATAGGCCAATCATTTCCCCCACCCACATCTTCCCAGCCACCCCTGTAATCTGTGCTGGCAGCAGCTTGCCTTTATATTGTATTGTTTTCCAAATCGACTCTGCCTCCACTCATTCCAAACACTAGTAAGGCCTGAGACCAGCCCCTACCTACCACTGAATTTGTCTCTCACAATCATGGTATGCCTCACCCAGGATGGCCTGCCTTTCTCCTGTATGCATCTTTCTCTTCCCATAGGACTCACCACAGATCCCTGTTGTTGATATTTGTCGATTTTATGCTCTGGGATCACCACAGAACCCCTGCCACCCGTGAGGGTTTGGCGAAAGGATTGAACGGGAGATTTTAATCTGACTTGCAGTGGCAACCTCTAGCCAGCAGGTGGCAGTCCAGTGCAATCCATATTGACCATGAAGTAGCCCCAAGGTCCTTTCTGAGAATATCATTTTTGAAACTCTACATTTTCTTGCTTGCACTCGGCACCAGAACAGGCCCTTCGAGTCTGGGAGCCGAGTCTCTTAGTGGGACCTAAGAAACATCATGGGATTTTGGATGCAGCTCAATGGATAGCCACTTACCCAGTGTGGGTGATGCCCTGCGTTCAATTCCCGGTACTACAAAGCGAAAACATATATGGATTGCCACCTGGAGGAAACCGGGAGGGCTTGTCAGGAATGTGGAGGATTCCAGGGCCCCACCCAGATCTACCATTTCCCACCTTAGACATTCATGTGCCTTCTTTTTCCCATTAGAAGACAGGATCGCAATCATACTCATGGTATAGCAGGCACCATTTCCCCATCTAAGAGAGTGAATTATGGAACCCCTTGGAGTCTGATTTCTGCTTGTGGCATGGAGGGTGGGCAAATGCCCGAGATGCTTGCTGTGGGTTACTCTCCTGTAAAACACTCGGGTCCAGAGATGGAAAGATATTTCATCCAAGCCCAGTGTGGAGCTCTAAATCTGCAGCAGGAATTTCAGCTTCTGTTTTGGGGAGGGTTCGGTTTTACTACTGTACTGAAGAACTTCCTTTATAATCTGCCTAGAAGCAGGCAGTGGTGGCTCACACCTTTAATCCCAGCATTGGGGAGACAGAGGCAGGCAGATCTCAGTGAGTTCAAGGCCAGCCTGGTTTACAGATTGAGTTCCAGGACAGGCTCCAAAGCTCCAACCCTGTCTCAATAATAAAAATAATCTGCCAAGAAAGGCAAAAGTACCTAAACTGTGTTCATACTTGTCAGTAGTGTTCATGCTTGGGTCCCAGGCTGGCCTTGAACTCACAGAGATTCATGAACTGCCTCTGCCTCTCAAGTCCTGGAACTAAAGGTGTGTACCAACACTGCCAGGCTTCATGCTGGTTTTGAGGTTGACATTTGTTGAAATTATTTGTGGTTTTTTTGGTGCCACTTTCTACCCTGGCTAGATTCCTATGGAGAAAAAACTCCTAGGTAACTATAAGGGACAGTTTATTTATTTCAATTTACTATTTTATGTGTTTGAGTGTTTTGTCTACATGTATGTCTGTGTACCACATGTGTGCCTGGTTCCTGCAGAGGCCAGAGGAGGGTGTCAGATCCCCTTGGACTGGAGTTACAGATAGTTGTGAATCACCACCATGTAGGTGTTGGGAACAAAGCCCCCTCCTTTGGGAAAACAGTCAGTGCTCCTAACTGCTGAGCCCATCTCTCCAGTCACCTGGAAAGAAATATTTTACATATACAAGTTTTCCCATCACTCCAAAGGCAGAAGCAGGCAGATCTGAGTTTGAGACCTGCCTTCAAGTGGATCTCTGTGAGCAGTAGGCCAGCCAGGGCTGTGCAGTGAAACTGTCTGAAAAATCTTTCACGCTAGGTCAGATGAGATGGCTCAGTAAGGTCACTTGCTGTTGAGTCTGAGGACCTGAGACTGATCCCTGGGACCCACATGACAGAGAGAAGTGACTCCTACAAGTTGTTTTCTGGTCTCCACGTGAATGCTGTGGCACAAATACCAATAAACAAATAAATAAATGTAACTTAAAAACCAGGCTAGCCAGGTGGTGGTGGTGCACGTCTTTAATCCCTTGGGAGGCAGAGGCAGGTGGATCTCTGTGAGTTCGAGGCCAGCCTGGTCTACTGAACGAGTGCCAGGACAGCTTCCAAAGCTACAGAGAAACCCTGTCTTGAAAAAAAACAAAAAACAAAAACAAAACAACCCTGAGGAAATCAGTCTTTTAATGGAGATTATCTTGTCCCTGGTGGTACATGATTTGTTGCTCAAATGTTTCTTGAGAACGAGCGGTGTGGTGGTATGTGCCTGTAATCTCAGCCTATGGAAAGCTGAGAAGGAGGCCAGCCTGGGCTATATAGACAAGAATACTCCATCTCAAGAAAAAAAAAAAAATCAAAGGCCCCTGGGATTAATGGTGGCTCTTACGCCATGAGTGGCCACCAACTATCCTTCCTGGATGTCTCTGTTGTGCCTCAACCTCCCAAGTGCCACTAAGGGTTCACTCTCTCAGTCCCCACTAAGTCACTCTTCTCTGGGTAACCTGCTCTATGGAAGCCAGCTATCAGCTGAGCTGGCCAGGGCCTGGGCTAGCCTAGTATACTCTCTCCATGTCTGTGGGAACATTATAGGTTTTGCAAGAATACCAGAGAATCCTTTACTCCTGCCCTCTCCACCCCTCATACCAGCTGGTCCTATCATCTGTGGCTGAGGTGCAGGTAGTCTCTATCCAGGGGGAGCTGGCAGATAGAATCCATTCTTACCCAGGGACCTCTGATAGCCATATGCCAAGGAGAGTCACTTGGCTTCAATTTCTCCAAATCTGTTGGTAGGCAGGCCTCACTGCGGTTGACAAGTCACGTAGGTTTCTTTGTTTTGGTTTTTCAACACAGGGTTTCTCTGTGGCTTTGGAGCCTGTTCTGGAATTCACTATGTAGACTATGTAGACTCACACACCTGTCTGCCTCCCGAGTGCTGGAATTAAAGGCGTGAGCTGCCTCCACCACCACCCAACTAATTTCTTTTTACTATTTGTTTTTATGGGCATTGGTGTTTTACCTGTATGGATGTCTGTGTGAGGGTACCATATC